TTAGCATTTGCAGACTCAGAAGTCAGATTATTTACAATATCTGAAAAACAACTGCAGAAAAACAGAAATATTTAAAATGAATGAAACTGCAAAAACTTTGTGCACCGCAGATGCAGCAGCGTATCTAGAAAGGCCTGCATTCAACTGATGAGCTTCAGTATGAACAGATGAATCTAAACCAGTTCAACCTTCACCAGTGAGGAAGAGGAAGATGAATCCCCACAGAGCCTCAGTGTGGCCGGCTCACAAGCTAAAACCCAAACATTCAGACACAATGTTCCATCAGTTCATGAGCTACGGGGACAAATTAATACCAACAAAGAGGCAGAGCTGCACACGCTGCTGCTAAAATGCTAATTTGTCATTTAGCACTTTTGCTAACACTAAACGTTTAACACTTAAGTTAATTTGACAGATAAATTAAAAAGCACTAATTTACTTGGCTGATTTATAAACTTTCAGCTGAATAAAGTTCAAAATCTGTATTAAACTTTTGATTATATTAAGAATTCAAGTAATTTGATTATATTCAGGTTCTTAATTTGAAGTGGCTGAAGACTGTAGTTCTGTTTCCTGTAAGTTTATTTTAAACAATAAACATACAGGAACAAAATAAAATAGAGAACAATATATAAACAACAATAAGAGCATTATGAAACATATAATCTCAAAATTACATTAATTTTTAATGGTTGTGGTTTTAATGGCAGATATAATTTGAATGGCTTCAGCATTTAAATTTATTTTAAGAAGGCTAAAGATATTAAAATACAATAAAATCTGTAAATTGCAGATGTTTGGAGGTGTTAATAAAAAAAGTTAAGATATAAAAGTTCTGCATCACATCTGTAGATCCACATTTATTCAGTTTTTTCTGTTTGCAGTCGTAACGGTTGGAGAACGAGACATCGTTTTCCTGATCGACAGCACCATGGGAACGGCGGTCATCAACACTGTGCGGGAATACATCCGGCGCTTCGTCAGCACCAAGGAAATCGGTCCGAATGCAGTCCAAGTGGGCATCGCCCAGTTCGCCACTGACACCAGGCTGGTCATGGACCTCCAAACCCATTCCACCAAAGAATCGCTGCTCGGCGGTTTGGCGGCTATCAGACCCAGACCGGGACAGACCATCAACATCGGAGCCGCTTTGGACTTTGTGCGGCTGAACATGCTGAGGCCTGAGAAGGGCAGCCGCATGAGCCGTGGCGTTCCTCAGCTCCTGTTGCTGATTGTCAGCAAGCGGTCCAGCGACAGCGTGGCGGGGCCGGCTCAGGCTCTGCAGAACCTGGGCGTTCTGGCGCTGGCTGCAGGCTCCAGGGCCGCCGCTGAGGATGAGATGAAACAGATCGCCTTTTCCGAAAGCATGGTGTTCATGGCAAAGGACTTCAGACAACTGTTTCGCAACGCCAGGGAGATAACCGATGCCCTCTCAACGCTTTCTGGGGTGATGGTGGTTGAAGGCCCCACTGATCCAGGTAATTCCTCATTTTACTAACCACCTTCCCAAAATTGGTCAGTTAGCAAAAATTGTAACATCCAGCCAATAAAAATGAAGCAAAAGGCACAATGAAGCATTTACACTTGAACAAAATTCACTTGGGTGAATCTGGATGGTTGTTTTCCAGTTTCAACAAATCCCTCTTAATTTGAAGTGTTTAAAGAGAAACGAAACACAAAATCTACATTTCTTTGCAGATATGCTGACTAAATTGGCCTGTCAGGGTTATATCTTCATCTTTCTGTGCAACTTGTGCCATTTTTTAAAAACCTTTCCGGTTCGTTCAGACGGTCCAGCTTGGTTGATGTCATCTCAGCCCAGTGCTCTGGAATAAAATATTATATTTCATAATTTGCCCCCGGTGGCGTTCCTCTGCTTCATGTGTAATTGGTTAGCAATATGGACATGGAGTGGAACGGGTCCGCTCTGCTGCAACGGACCGACCGCAGCGCTGCAGGTCCAGGGAGCGGCTGCGGCAGCACTTGCTGCTCGCTCAGCTGCTGCAGAGTCTCTGTTGCTTTCATGTGTTTTTGCCATAAGTCTCCAGTAACAGAAAAGATTTGTCACTAGTCACTTTTGTGAAAATAGTAGCTAAACATAGCTACAACGTTGCTAAGTTGGTAACAGTGCTTTCCCTCATCCGGACCACTGCCACACTAACAACATCTCTCATCCCCTCAATGTGTCTTGGCTCCGCCCACTTTGGTGGAGTTTTTCTTAATTTTTACCTACACAGGGGGTTTATAGTTACGCTTTAAAATGACAGATCTATACGCATTTTAATTCAACTAATTTTATTCATATTGCAAGGCAAGGCAAGTTTATTTATATAGCACTTTAAAATAGTACCACTGACCAAAGTGCTGTACAATCACAAAATTAATCAAATAAAAATCAAAATTAAAACACACTATAACCAACAATACAGTGACTTAAAACACCCTATACAATACATAAACATACCCAGATAAATACAGGAAAGCAGCAGCTCAAACTGAATCAAAGGCCAACCGAAAAAGGTAAGTCTTAAGAGCAGATTTAAAAATTGCTAAAGAAGAGGCCTGTTTTACCGACATAGGTAAAGAATTCCAAAGTTTAGGAGCTGCAACAGCATCAAATTTATTAAAGAAAAGAAAAGGCCATGACAAATGACACCACTGAGGACCACAACTGTTCACAAGTGGTATAAATGGTTTAAAAGTTGCTGATACCGAAAGCTAGTTAAGTTGCCCTGAAATAACATTTTTGTTTTTGTGCTTTCCTTTAGTGGTGTACACCACGGTGCAGACGCAGAGAGTGTTTCGAGACATCGTGTTCCTTGTGGACGGATCAAACTACGTGGGGAGCAACAACTTGCCATTTGTGAGAGACTTCATGATCAACATCGTCAATCAGCTGAACATAAGTCCTGAGCAGGTCCAGATTGGACTCATGCAGTTCGCGGAGCGGCCAAGGATTGAATTTTACCTGAACACCTACGACAACAAGAGAGACGTCGTGGACAAAATCTCTCAACTCAGGCTGACTGGAGGCTCGGTGCTGAATACTGGAGCTGCCATGAATTACGCTTTGAACAACATGTTCCAGACATCAGCTGGGTCACGCAAACTGCAGAACGCCGTGCAAGTGCTGATCCTGATCACTGGTGGCCCCCTGCAGGATGATGCTAGAAGCGAGGCTGATAGATTGGCTTTGGGAAATGTTTTGACTTTTACAGTGAGTTCTGGGCAAGCTGACCAAGAAGAAATGGAAAAGATTGCCTTTATACCCAGCCTGGCCTATCACAAACGGAGCTTCTCTGAGTTACCAGCCTTGGCCGATGATATCATGCCGAGTCTAATAACTGTGGTTGGTGACATAGTAGTTGATCAAACAGGTTAGTCTCCAAATGTTCTTCTTTTAACATTGAAAAAATGGAATACTTATGAATGCGAGACGCATTGGCTAACTGGCTTCTTTGCCTTCCCACAGAGGTTGTTATTACTGGAAGTGAAAGAGATGTTGCCTTCCTGATTGATGGGACTGACAGCGTTCGAGGAGACTTTCCCCACATCCGGGATTTCATCCTCAAAGTGATTGAACCACTTGACATTGGATTTGACAAAGTACGCGTCTCTGTGGTTCAGCACAGTGAGAAACCCACCCCGGTCTTCTACCTCAACACTTATCAAACCAAAGAGGAGGTGATAAGAGCTATTCAGGGGATGGCTCTGGCTGGTGGACGCAGCCTGAACACAGGAGCCGCTCTGAGATACATGAAGGCCACCGTCATGTCTGACAGCAATGGCAGCCGCGCTGCTCAAAACGTCCCTCAGTTTCTGATTGTTTTGGCTGCAGACAGATCCATGGATAGTGTAAAGGAACCCGCTGGGGAACTGAAGACGGACGGAGTTGTACCGTTTGGTGTTGGTGTCAAGAATGCAGACAAGAAGCAGATTGAGGCCATAGCACACAACCCTTCGTTTGCTTTCAATGTGAAGGAATTCAGGGAACTGGAACCCTTACCATCGAGGATCAACACCTATGTTTCCCTGCCGAAGGACCAGCTTGGAGCCGCCCTACAGCAAGGTAAGACAGACAACCTTTCCTTCTTGGTGCGATGAAGCTGCTGTATGAAACGCTTTTTTTTCTCATGTTTTGCTGCTTGACCAGAATAACTGAACTTTATTTGTGTCATAGTGCAAAATGATGCTGTAAAAAGAGATATTGTGTTCCTGCTGGATGGCTCTGATAACACCAGAGACGGATTCACAGACATAAAGAGTTTTGTTAAAAACATAGTGGGACGGCTGTATGTTGACGAGGGCCTTGACAGAGTGTCTGTGGTTCAGTTTGCTGACAGACCCACAGTCGGCTTTCATCTAAATTCCCACAAGAGAAAGAGCGACAACATGAACGCCATTGATAACTTGGCGCACAAAGGTGGGAGGCGACTCAATGTTGGTGCCGCTCTCCAGTTTGTAAGGCACAGGGTCTTCACATCGTCCACGGGCAGCAGGAGGCTGGAAGGAGTGCCTCAGACTTTAATCCTCCTCACTAGCAAACCGTCTACAGACAGTGTGAAAGGACCAGCATTTGCCCTGAAAGAACATGAAATTGTGGCAGTTGGGGTGGGAGTGGCAGATGCTAACCTTGCAGAATTGGAAATGATTGAATTTAAACCTGGCTTCGCCTTCAAGGTCACTGACTTTTCCAGTTTAAACTCAATCCAAACACAAGTTCTCTCTGCACTGAACATACACCAAGACAATCAGGAAATCAAGAATGGGATTTCTGACTTAGTAGGTAAGAAAACCAAATGTAAACAATATTTTATTACTTTAAAACTATTGACGAGTGAAACCTCGTTAAGTCACTCAAAGGTTGGGATGAAATCGGGAATATTTCTGTTGTTTCTGTTCAGGTAGTGATTATTCACACTAAAACATCCAAATCATTGTTTTCTTTTCTTTTTAACTGTTCATCGATCTTCACGCAGTTCTAATATATAACAAAAACATAATTCGTAACAAAGACAGAAATCCTGCGTTTACAACCACTCTTTCTATCCATGTATCAACCAGTTGACACGTTCAGCAGTAAGAGGGACGTAGTGTTTCTCCTTGACGGATCAGACGACTCCAGAAACGGGTTTCCAGCTTTCCGAGAGTTTGTCAGAAGAATGGCAGAAGAGCTAGACGTTGGCAAAGATGGCGTTCGGTTAGCTGTTGTGCAGTACAGTGATGATGCCACGGTTTACTTTAACCTGGCAACCCACAAAACCAAAAAGGCAGTTATCTATGCCATCAGGGCGCTTCGACATAAAGGAGGAAGATCTCGTAACACCGGCACTGCGCTGGAGTTTGTGCGAAAACATGTTTTTTCAGCGTCCTCTGGCAGCAGGCGCCTGGAGGGAGTCCCTCAGGTCCTGGTTGTGCTGACCGGTGGTACGTCCAGTGACGATATCTCCAGCGCTGCTTTGGACCTGAAGCAAGTTGGAGTTTTTTCTTTCGTCATTGGAATGAAAAGTGCTGACCAGGAGGAACTTGAGAAAATTGCCTCCTCCTCCAGGTTTCTTTTCAACTTTCCTGTCTTCAGTGAACTTCTGTCCATTCAGCCTGAGATGGCTGCATTCATCCAGACTGAAGTACAAACTCAGCCTCCTTCTGGCGTGGGTAAGAAGCGTCACAGATTTACAGCCTCCCTGCTTGTGTCCCGCTACCACAGACTCTGCAGACTTTAATGCCAATGAAACTGCGTCATCTTCTCAGAACATCAGTCGATCAGTTTCATGCTTTTTGTTCTTTTTGGAAGATGCAACAATCTAGGTTGCATTGTCTCTTGTTTTGTTCTGAATATTTTTCTTCTCGGACCTTGGAGAGGATTTCTCTTGCTTCTGCAGCTCTTCCTTGAGCCAATGATAAACACATCATTGACTGATTATTATTCATGAATGGGTGAATGACTGAATGTAGTGTGAAGCACTTTGAGGTTCGCTGGACTTAAAGTGCTATGCAAGTACAGTTTCCTTGTACCGTTTATAGAAATATAAAATGTGTTGCTTTTCTCCATCTTTAATTTAAGAAAGAGGAATATTCCCTTTCTTTCACAATATTCTTCTTGATTAAAATTTGCCCAAAGTATTTAAGCATTGAATACTTTTCTACTGCAAAAGCTTCTTAGTCTTTCACTCCCAACTGGTTTTGCTCTGCTAAACTGTTTGCAGCACATCTACAGTTTTGTACGTTATGTCTAATCGTAAAACTTGCATTCTCTTCTAGTTGAACTAGAGTCTCCTGAAAGAGACATTGTGTTTCTGTTGGACGGCTCCGATGACACGCTGAGTGGCTTCCCAGCAATGAAAACTTTTGTCCAACAAGTAGTAGAAACCCTCAGTGTTGGTGAAAACAAAGACCGTGTTTCTGTGGTTCAGTACAGCCAAGATCAACAAACACATTTCAGTCTGAACACCTACACGGACAAACAAGCTGTTCTTAATGCAGTCCGACAGCTGGACCATAGAGGGGGCCAACCCCGAAATACTGGTGCAGCTCTGGAGCAGGTGAGGAGGAATGCTTTCGCAGAATCCTCAGGGAGTCGGCACAAGGAGGGAGTCCCTCAGATACTGATTCTGTTGACTGGGGGAACATCCGCAGACGATGTCACAAGAGCTGCTGCCGATCTGAAAAAGGAAAAAGTTGTTCCTTTCTGTGTCGGAACAAAAGCTGCTGACATTTTAGAGCTCCAATCGATTGCTCATAATCCATCCTATGCCTTCTCTGTTCTTACATTTGATGACATTGGAAGCATTCATCAGCAGCTTGTGTCTTTGGTGCAAAGGGTTCCACGGCAACAGCCCAGAGAAAGAGCACTTAATGTTTTAGGTAAGAACGTTTACATTTCTGAATCTGAGCTTAGCAGGCAGTAGCTTACCCAACCATCCCTTAAAGCACTAAATCATCCCAAACTTGATTCCAAAAACTGGCACTTCTTAGTAAAATAATGCACTTTGGTCTGTTTTTAAGTCAGTAAAAATATTTTTTCACATGTACAAAAAATGTTGTCCAAGGTTGGAATATGTAAAAGGGAATGCCTGCAAGGTCCCCTGCTGAGTCTGACACCAGGAATATAATAAGATAAAGACAGGATGCAGGACATCAAGACCTAGTACAATGCTAACGGTACCAGCTTCGATTTGCTGTTCTGGCCAGATGAGAGGACATTTTCTGAGCTACATTCAGACAAATAACTTGTGGAAAAGCTTTTTCCAAATTGTTTCAACTCGAAACAATTTGCATTTCTACGTGAAAAGGTTTGTTGCCAAGCTAACTAAGTGGAAGTGTGAAATAATTCACATCTACACCTATTAAGAGTAATGCACCACATCACAGGATGTAAACACCAAATCCAGCTACGAGTTCACACGCTGATCATTCAGTCATCTACTGTGGGAGAAAACCCCCAGATTTTCCAGAACGGTGATTAGAAATGTTATGTCCTGCATTCCAGTTCGTTCTAGTTGTTAAACAATGCAGCAAGTTCAGTTTATTATAAAAATTGATTTAAAAGTGTCCAGCAGAGCATCGAGCTGCTGAGAGGCAGCGTTCAGGTAGCGACAGTGGAGAGGAAAAAATAAAAACTTGAATACAATAGACTGACCTTGTCTTTGCACGTCACACGTTCAAAGCATTGAAAAGCAGTTTGCATCCATCCAGAAGTGCTTAACAAAAGAATAAAAATATATAATAAACATGGACATTGAAGGTTTCTTTAAATACGCTGAAACTGTAAGTAAATGTATATACAGGCTATGAGTGTAGAGACTGTGAACAGGAGTAATTATTTCTTCAGCAGTGACTAACAGATGAAACTGAAGGTAAATAAGAGGTACAAAAGTTTACCCTAAGTTATTGCGCTAATGGAGATGAAAACACATTAGCCAAATAAGTTCTGATGTAGCTGCTTTCCCATCCACTGGTGGGTCTGCGCCATCTCTACTGCCTGTTTATTCCAACCATGCGTAGCGTTAACATCTGATGAACTCGCGCTCAGCGTAAGCCTCACTGATTTGCCGTAAACAAGTAGATGGGGAAACGCCTAAGAGTTTCCTCCTTATTCTCTTTTGCGACATTTTTAATGTTTGTTTACAGTTAGCATGACAGTTGAGTGAGAACAGCCATCTGCAAAAACCCACATGGTTTAAGAAGACAGCAGAGCTCTGATCCCGGAGCGCCTGGTGTTTTCAGAGTTCACACCGTGACGGAGCGAACAGAAACCAGCAGAGATTCTTCCTATTAATGTTCATAGCAGTTGTTACAAATTAGATTTTTTATTGTTATTTTTGTAAAGTGGTTATGCAACATGCATTGATTCTGATTGGCCACAAGTCAAATAATTTGGGATTCATAACAGAGAAATTTATCTGTTTGGATTGATATGAGATGAAAGAGCGCACATCCTTCAATCATATTATTGATTATTAAAAGATTTGTATTGACTTAAAATGGGGAACAAATTAATCAGTTAAAGAGTTTTTAAAGTTTAAGCTACCAGACAGTTTGTATTTTAAGGGACAAGCAGCTATCTCTGAGGATGTACTTGCAGCTCATGAAAATAATCCACCAACTCGACATTTTGTTTTCTGTTAAGGTTCCACACAACAAAGAGAGTTCATGCAACTAGACATTGTGTTTTTAATGGATTCCTCTGATGAAATGTTGAGTGACTTCACACAAGTGCTTGGCTTTGTTGAGCAGATGGTGGAGAAACTCACTGTGGGTGAGAGGAAAGATCAAGTTTCTGTGGTTCAATACAGCAATGAACCTTCTGTTGAGTTTCTCCTGAACACACACAAATCACAGCAGAGTGCTGCCGACAGTTTAAAAACAATCAGGCACAAAGGAGGCAGGTTGCGCAACACAGGTGCAGCTCTGAATTACGTCAAGGAAAATGTTTTCACACCTTCCTCTGGAAGTAGACGCCAACAAGGAGTCCCTCAGACCCTGGTTCTTCTGACTAGCGGACGGTCAAATGACGATGTCAGGAACGCTGCAGAAAACCTAAAAGAAATTGGTGTGATGATGTTTGTGGTGGGAATAAAGAATGCAGACATCCTTGAGATGCAGTCCATTTCCCAGGAAGCCAGCCGTGCTTTCCTTGCAGCAGATTCCAGTGACATGTCAGACACTGAACAAGAAATCCTCACATCCATTCAGACAAGTAAGAAGTATGTTGCCACAACAGCATCATATGGTAAGATTTTAACAGCTAGACTTCACACTTTGCTCACAGCTTGATGAATGCTTAGCTTGAGTCAGTGGTCATTCACTGAATCAGCCAACTTGTCTGGTTCATCTGCTTACAGATCCCAGCAGCAGAGACATTGTGTTTCTGATTGATGGCTCTGATGATTCTCAGCGAAGATTCCCAGACATCACAGATTTTGTTCAGAGAATAGTGAGAGACTTGAGCGTTGGTCCCGACAGCGACCATGTGGCTGTGGTCCAGTACAGCAGCACCGCTGAGATTCATTTTAACCTGAGTCGCTACGTGACTGAGGATGATGTTCTCGAAGCGGTTGATGGTCTGACTCACAAAGGAGGTTATCCTAAAAACATTGGAGCTGCTCTCCAGTATGTGAGAGACTATGTCTTTACTCCAGAGTCAGGAAGTCGGATCCAGCAGGGAGTCCCACAGATACTAATCCTGTTGAGCGGAGGAAGATCTGGGGATGACATAAGAACCTCAGTAAGGATGCTAAAGGAAATGGGTGTTTCTATAGTTGCCATCGGGACTAGTGATGCAGACACCTTAGAGCTACAGACAATATCTCATGAACCCAGATATGCCCTCTCTGTTACTGACTATGAAGAACTTTCCACTGTCAAGCAGGATGTGTTGTCTTTGTTGAGAGAGCCGTCCCATCATGTGGTACAGTCAGTAGATTTTGGTAAGATCTGCTCTGATTCTGGTTTGGTTTAAAAGAATCAGACTGGAAAGTCATCACGAGAAAACCTGACTGCCTTTAATCTATGCTTCTTGTTTTTGTTGCAGATTCAAAGAAAGGTGATGTAGTTTTTCTAATTGATGGCTCATATGACTCAAGAAATGGCTTTGAAGAAATTCGCGCCTTTATTCAGAGAATTGTTGAAAATTTAAACGTGAGTCATAACGGAGACCAAGTAGCTGTTGTTCAATACAGCCGTGACGCCACAGCTAATTTCTACTTGAACTCCTATTCATCTAAGAGCGACGTGCTCAGTTCCATTAGAACGATGAGGCATAAGCTGGGGCAGCCGCTTAACATTGGTAAAGCACTGGAGTTTGTCAAGGACCATGTCTTTGCTGCGTCGGTGGGAGGCAGAGGAGCCGATCTGGCTTCTCAGCACCTGTACTTGTTTAGTGGTGGTAGGTCTGGAGATGATGTTAGAGGACCAGCACAGACACTGAAAGCCAAGGGGATAAAGACTTTGAGTATTGGAACAAAGAATGCCGATACATTGGAAATGCAAACTGTGTCTTACACACCTGGACATTATTTTTATGTTCCAAACTATGAAAACCTGCAAAGAATTTACACATCTGTGGAAACCAAACTGAGGGACTCACAAGAAACCACTGAGTTCACAACTGGTAAGAAGCAAAATATAAGCGTTCTCAAGATGGCTGTTCTTTTCAAATTTATGAACCTGTCTATATGTGCTTGTATACATTTCAAACACTTCTACAGATGTAGAAACAGAACATCAGAAAGCTGATATTGTTTTCCTTCTTGATGGATCCGATAACATGAAACCTAGTGAAAGACTAATTTTGGAGTTTGTGACAGACTTTGTCAAGAAGTTAGAGATTGGGCCAAGTAAAGCACAAGTTGCTTTGGTCCAGTACAGCACAGAGCCCACTGCTGACTTTATCTTGAATAAATACTCACTGAAGGAGGACACTTTGAATCACCTGAGCAATGTGAAACTGAAAGGAGGTGGCTCAGTAAACACCGGCAGAGCCATTGATTTTGTGAGGAATACGGTCTTCACTGCTTCATCTGGAAGCCGGCTCCAGCAGGGAGTCCCACAGGTACTGATTCTTGCAAGTGGGAGAAAGTCTGAGGATGATATGTTACGCCCAGTGGGAATGTTAAAAAACGCTGGAATTGTTCCATTTGCTGTTGGAGTGGACAGTGCAGACAGGTTTGAGATGGAGCAGTTTGCCCCAGGGGCATGGTATTTTCTCAAGGAGGCATCTGATTTTCCGCTGGTGAGACAACAGCTGTTGTCAGCCACTGCCTCTCTCAGCGGCTCTGTAAGCCCAGGGATTGGTAAGTGAAAAACTTTCTCTCACTTAAAAGACAGAATATTCAACTATATTGACTATATTTTGGTGGTGACTATACTTGGTTGTTCAGCAGCACTATCAAAATGTATCTGATGATTCACATTCATAGGTTCAAGTTCCACAATGAAAAGAGATATTGTATTTCTTATTGATGGATCTGATGATGTCAGGAACACATTCAGCGCCATTCGTGAATTCATTGCAAACTTGGTTCAAAGTTTTGATCTCGACCATGAACAGGACAAAGTTGCTTTTGTGCAGTATAGCAACAATGCTGAAATCAGTTTCAGTCTCGATTCCTATGCCACAAAAGACGATGTTCTCCAGCACATTGCAAGCCTTAAGCCAAAAGGTGGCCGACCTCAGTATATTGGGGCAGCTCTACAGTTTGTAAAAGACAAAGTTTTTGTCTCAAACGCTGGTGGACGAAAAAATGAAGGTGCCAAGCAGATACTTGTTGTATTGGCCGGGGGAAGGTCCAGAGATTCACCACGAGGCCCAGCAACAGCACTAAAACGTGGGGGTGTTGTCATATTGGCAGTTGGATCAAGACAGTCGAATTCAGCTGAAATGCAGGCCATTTCATCTGACACAGACTACACCTACTCTGTCCCTGACTTTGTAAATCTGCCTCGTATTCAACAACTTCTGATGAGGAGTCTTACTGGAATGAAGAGTCAGGAGACGAGAGAAGGTAAGGGTGAATGTTTAAAAGTCACATATATTCATAGTGTTGTGAAAAGTGTTTACACCTTACTGATTTCCTATTTTTTGAAAGTTTGTCAAACTTCAGTGTTTCAGAACATCAAACCAATTTAAATATTAGTCAAAGACAACAAGTAAGATGACATGCAGTTTTTAGATGTTCAGTGTATTATAAGCCTGGCGGCCCGCCATGCTTTACTAGCCCCGCCGCCAGGCTAAGCGTTGCTTGTTTAAGTTTCTAGGGAGGGGGGGGGAAATCGTTTTTGTTTTTTTTTAATGCCAGGGTGCAAGCGTCTCTTTTGCTCTTTGCACTAGCAGAGCAGATTTATTCCTAAAGG